CACAGCCGGGTATTTTTAGGCTGCAGGAACATTTCTTGTGCGGTTTGTAGGTCAGTCGCTCACTCCACCATGACTTGCCCACAAATCAACCCCTCTATACCCTCATGCCCTAATACTTCCGTGGTGAAATCCATCAGCTACGTCCCAAGATCCGCAACTACTGCAAACTCGGGTCCCGAACAACCAGCCCCATCAGAAGCAGATAACAGGCAGTCATGCACCTCATTTAACAACGGGAGATGCTTCAGACAGCGCTGCCGGTTCCTTCACATCTGCAGTTTCTGTGGCGGAGCTCACGCCCGCATTGTCTGCCCAGTGTTTAAAGCTGTGAAATAAAAAATCCAAAAATTACCTATCGACTCCCATGAATATTTCTCGCCTGACCATCGAACTCGCTCACCACCCAGACAAATAATTCACTAATTATCTTCTGTCTGGCCTCAGACACGGTTTTAACCCCGGCGTCGAATGCTCACTTACCCAAAGTTTCATCTGCAATAATCTCCAATCCGCCCACGCAGAGTCTGATGTCGTAGGCAACTTAATCAAAAAAGAAGTCAAGTCAGGCTTTATGATCGGCCCTTTCGATAAACCTACCTTCGAAACATTTCGCGTCAGCCCCATCGGAGTGGCTACTAGGAAATTCTCAGGTAAGAAAGCCTAATAATTGATCTATCATCACCACATAATTCCATGGTTCCAAGCATTAATAGCTTGATCCCTCTTGACGAATTTTCTCTCAAGTACCACGACATAGATCAGGCAGTCGAATTGATTAAAATTGCGGGTCGAGGAGCCTGGCTCGCAAAAATAGACATCACTTCTGCCATCAAAGTGATGCCTATTCATCCGGACTCATGGCATTTGTTCGGGATACGTTGGCTCGGGAAATTCTATTTCGCCGTCCGTTTAACCTTTGGATGCAAAAGCAGCCCCAAAATGTTTGACATGTTATCAGAAGCCGTTTGCTGGATCTTGTCCAATAATTACGCAATGCCCCACCTTATTCATCTCCTAGACGTTTTTTGGTCATTTCACCTCCCGACGCAATCCCAGCCGCCCACATCCTCACAGTCCAAAAAGTTTTTTCCGAGCTTGGGATCCCCATCGCTCAGGAAAAAACCATGGGTCCCGCTACGTTCATCGAGTTCCTCGGCATCAACTTAGACTCAGCTAAATTTCATCTCTCCCTGCCCAAGGAGAAGATTGATAGAATAATCATCATCTCTACCCTCCTCGCCAACCCAAGCTGTTCTAAACGCGCACTCCTTTCTCTGCTCGGACACTTAAACTTTGCAATGCGCATCATTCCCCAAGGCAGCCCTTTCATCTCGCATCTTCTCTCTCTCGCATCTTCATTCCACGCGCTCGAGGACCTCATTCCCCTATCTCACGCATGCTGCGATGAACTTAAGTTATGAATAATGTTCCTTAAACAATGGAATGGCCTTTCCCTTTTTTACAACAACCTCGTTTCATCTCCCGTTGACATCCAACTATTTACAGACGCAGCTCCCTCAATTGGTTTCAGAGGTTTTTACCAAGGACGTTGGTTTGCGTCTCCATGGCCCCCCCAGCTGCAGGGCTCACCCTAGTCCTCAGCTTTTTTCGAGCTCTACCCCCTCATGGTAGCTACCTTCCTATGGGGGAATGAATGGGCTTCTAAAAGTATTTTAGTGCACTGCGACAACGAAGCAGCTGTTCAGTGCATTAATAAAGGCCGTTCTCATTCTCCCGCCCTAACGCCTCTCCTTAGACGCTTAACATGGATCACAGCGTGCGACCAATTTATAATAATCGCTAAACACGTTCCAGGTTCAGAAAACCAAATTGCTGACTCTCTGTCTCGCTTTATGTTTCAGAAATTCAGGATGCTGGCTCCAGAGGCGTACCAATTCCCAACTCCAGTACCTCATTATTCAGAATTAATATTCCTGTAACCCACCCATTAAAACCCCTTCTCGATGCATCGCTTGACACTATCCTCCAAGCAGTTTCTCCCAGAACCCTTCAGTCATATGTGACAGCGTGGAGATGCTTCAAGGCATTCCACCGCTCATACAACACACCGTTCCCCGATTTTTCCCTACTTTCAATCACCTCATTCGTCTCTTTTCTTAACAGCATTAAGGGTCTCCAAGTTGGGTCCATCAAAGGTTACCTGAGTGGCATCCAATTTTTCCACAAGCTGATGTTCGGCGCTCCCTCGCCCGAAATAAGCAATTCACAATCCTCCCTCCTGATCAGAGGAATCCAGCGATCCCAGCCCACCTGTCCCGACTCCAGACAACCCATAATGTTAGACATCCTCACAAAATGTATCCACACCCTCCGCACAGGTTACCAGCCTCTCAGTACAGCCCGCACACTCGACGCCATGTTCATTCTAGCTTTTTTCGGCTTTCTTAGATGCCCGGAACTCACCATCTCTTCCAAATTCGATCCAAAAATCAACCTGACCTTCTCAGACCTAACCATACTCGATAGCGAAACAATTTCCTTCTTAATCAAACAAAGCAAGACAGACCAAGCCAAGAAAGGTCATTTTATCTACATTTTCAATCTCTCTTCTCCAATCCAACCAGTCCATCTTCGAGTACCTCCGCCTTAGAAATTCTCAGGCTAAATTCCCCCACGAACCACTATTTTTATACGACTCCAAAAAACCTGTCACTCGCTTCTGGTTCCAAAAACACCTCAGATCCATCCTGCAATTATCGGGCATCCCAGCAAAGAATTTCTCCAGCCATTCCTTTCGCATTGGGGCAGCAACATCAGCAGCCCAAAAAGGCCTCTCCAAGCAGCAGATCCAAACTATTGAGCTTACATCTGATGTCGGCAAGAGCCTCCCGGCTAGACAACCTTACCTTTTCCATTCTACGGTCAGCGAGGCTTACCCGTTCGATGCTGTGTGCTCTCGTCGGACGTCGGCGAGAGCCTCCTGGCCAGACAACTTTACATTTTCCATCCTACGGTCGGCGAGGCTTACCCGTTTGATGCTGTGTGCTCCAGTCGGACGTCGGCGAGTCTCCCGGCCACATAACTTTACTTTTCCATTCGACGGGTGGCGAGGCTTAGCTGTCCGACACCATCCGAGTCTCGACCTCCCGCCGAACGCTGTCAGAACCCTCTCAGCTAACCTCACGTCTTTTCCTCCCGCCTGGCGAGGCTTACCCGTTCGATGTTCTGAGTCTGATACCCCATCAGATGCTGCGAGAGCCCTCCCAGTCGGGTTTTCCCTTTCTCTCTCCCCGCCCGGCGAGGCTTACCCGTCTGATGCAGTGAGTCTTGATCTCCCGTCAGATGGCGGTGAGAGTACTCCCGGTTGGGCTTCTATACTTGCCGCCCGCAAGCGAGATTATCCATCCGATGCCGTGAGTCTTGATCACCCGTCGGGTGTCACAAGAGTCCTCCTTGCCGGACCGCCCAAAGCCTTTTTATCTGCCAAACCGAAAGGACCCACACGTCCGTCGTCCTGAGTCTTGATCTCCAGTCGGAGGCTTCATGGGCCCTCTCGGTCAGCCATTTTGCCCTCTGCCCACTGATTAGCAGGGGCCTGTCAGCCAGTAGGGCCGTACGCCGACACCGCGAGCTATTCCAGTCGAGGCAACTCGGGCCCTCCTGGTAGGGTTATACAATCCCGCTGCTCCGGTTCTCAGTCTGGCGGCTGTCCTTTGCTCAATTGCTTTTTGGGGGGTACTCTAGGTTCGGGCCATTCCCAAGCTCGGAGCCCTTCCCCGGACAGCACGCCAAATATGCATTACCATACTTCAGCTAATTATATGTAAGCATGAACTCGTGAAATAAAAGACAAACAAACATGAAAAAATAAAGTGGCAAGAACAACATTGTTTCATGGTGTGCACAACACACTCTACCTATACTGTGGTAAAAGTCAATGTAAATCTCATTACTGTATCATTCCCACAAAAGTTTCTGACCCTGTCTTTAAGATGAATGTTCTGCTTCACAGGTGACGGGTAAGATGGATGAAAACCAGTTTGTGGCTGTGACGAGCACCAATGCTGCCAAGATCTTTAACCTGTACCCTCGGAAGGGTCGCATCGCTGTGGGCTCTGATGCTGACCTGGTGCTTTGGGACCCCGACACCACCAAAATCATCTCTGCTAAGAGCCACCACCTGGTGAGAAGAGTTTGTTTACAACTAAATTACTTTTCAAGTAATGTTTGTCAGCTGACAAGGAAGCTCTGGGGTCTGAATGTTAGATTAGTGCATCAAGGGCTGTTTGTGTATCTGAGTGCACTTTAAATGAACCGTAATGTGGGTGACACCATTAGGTCTGGACCAGCTCTGACTCCTGATCCTCTGCTCTGAGCTGTTTTGGTATTCTGCTGACTCGCTCGCTCTGTCTGCTCCTGTTTATCAATGAGGCTGATGCTGCGATCTGTGCTGATCTAATTCGACCGGAATGAGACGCTGATGCGGTCAGATATAGAAAGAGTTAATTATTTGAGCTCTGGTGAACTCTGGGATATGTTAATGTACATTATCATTCAAAGGTTCGAGATTTATTCATTTATTTATTTTGAGAGAAATTAATACTTTTATTCAGCAAGGATACATAAAAAGACATAACCTTACAAAATATTTTTCCACAATAAAAAGTATCAGTTTCCATAAAAATATGAAGCAGCACAACTGTTTCAGAAATGTTTCTTGAGCAGCAAATCAGCATATTAGAATGATTTCTGAAGGATCATATGACACTGAAGACTGGAGTAATGATGCTGAAAATTCTGCTTTGCATCACAGAAATAAATAACATTTTCAAATATATTAATACATTTTTTTAATTATAATAATATTTCACAATATTACTGTTTATTTTTAATCAAATAAATGCAGCCCCGGTGAACATGAGAGACTTCTTTCAGAACATTACAAGATCAGATTTCGATCATTAGTGAATCTGTTTTTTCTATAATATTTTAGGTTTATTTACTATTTTAGGAATAAAATGTTTTGATAGTATAGACTAGAGCTTCAAAAGCTGAGCTAAAGATGAGAGCTTTTCGCTCATTCTGTCATTCTCAGGCGGTGGAGTACAACATCTTTGAGGGGATTGAGGTGCGTGGAGCTCCTCTGGTGGTGATCAGCCAGGGCAAGATCGTCCTGGAGGACGGGAACCTCCACACCACTGAGGGTTCTGGACGCTACATCACCCGTAAACCCTTCCCAGACTACGTCTACAAGAGGATAAAGGCCCGCAGCAGGGTATGTATGCGTTATATACAGATGCATATTGACTCTTAATTTAATTAGCCATAAATTATAAAAAAATGTGTCAAACGGAGGTATCTCTCATCACAGCTTGCTGAGCTGTGTGGAGTCCCACGAGGTCTATATGATGGCCCGGTGTGTGAGGTCACTGTGACACCTAAGGTTATGACCCCTGTCACCTCCGGTAAGACTTCTCCGGTCAAACACACTCCTCAACCGGTTCGTAACCTGCATCAGTCTGGATTCAGCCTGTCTGGTGAGTATACAACTAAATTTGCAAACCAATTTCCTACCATAATACTTTTTAGAATGGCATACTACCATAATATTATTTTGGCTGTATGCAATATATAAACAGTAATATATATTTTTACTAAAAAAAAAGTTTACTGAAAAAATTGTGGCTCTGTCTTAAAATAAATTCAATTATAATTAAAAATTTCTAACAAAACACAAAGCTTACTGTGATTGTTATCGTTTTGGCTCATTGTTTGATCATATTGCCAAAGATTTTTACACAAAATTACATTAAAACTGTGATTAAAAATAGAAAAAAATATTTTATTTGTATTAACTTAATTAGTATACTCACGTAAAGCGGTATATACCTATATAGCAAATCTTGGCTACATGATTGTTTATATCGCCACAAAATGTAACTATATTATCGACCAGCTCTTAATGTGAAGTTGGATATATTTACATTACGTTTACATTTAGTCATTTAGCAGATGCTTTTATCCAAAGGTACTTGCAAATGAGGACAATGGAAGCAATCAAAATCAACAAAAGAGCAATATGCAAGTGCTATGACAAGTCTCAGTTAGCCGTATACAAGTTTTTTTTTAATTATATAATAAATAAAAAGAAAACAGATAGAATAGAAAAAGAATAAAGCAAGCTAGTATTAAAGGCCTTTTTTTTGCTTTTTGTTAATTGTATAATAAATAAAAGAAAACAAAGAGATAGAATGCAAAAAGAAAAGTGTTTTTTTAAGAAAACAAGCAGTTAGTAAATGAATAGAGTGCAAGTTTTTTTTAAAGAATAGAATTAGAATAGAGAATGCTAGAGTTAGAGGGTCAAGTAAAGATGGAAGAGATGTGTTTTTAGCCGATTCTTTTAGCCGATTCATTCCAACCAGGAGGGAACATTAATAAGTCATATATATATATGTAATAATATATCATTATTAATTATATTTTATTAATATTAATTCATTATAAATTTATATATTTCTAATCATATATAAGTTTGTCCATCTTTTTCCACATTACTACTAACATGTGGCGAAACATAGTATATAGCAAATCTCACCTGCGCAATTGTTTATATACATTTTTTACAGTTGCATACTTTGTATTCATGTACATTTAAAACAGAAAATACTTTTATACTATAAAACTATATAGCCCAATTGTTTGCTCTGTTCTTGCCATCTAACTCATTTTGTTCTTTCATCGTTTCACAGGGGCTCAAATTGACGATAACATCCCTCGTCGTACAACTCAGCGCCCTGTATCGTTAAGTATTAAACGTGCTGTCGCCATGTTGATTTGTGGTTTTTCCTTGTAGGAAGAGTCGATGAGATATTTATTGTTATGGATTCAAACCACGTTTGTATTTTATATTTTGAAAAAGTGTCAACTCTTCCACAAACGCCTGATTTATTATAAGGTTTTAGAATGTTGTTTTATAATGAACTGAATAGTTTGATTCTTTTTTTTATTTTATGTTATGATTTCGGTTTCAGGTTGGTGTTTCAACGTTCCCTGAAATCCCTAACGTTTGTCTTCCTAACGTTTTTGCACTTCGTTATTTTCTCTCAGCATTATTTAACTGCAGTTTTGGAGATGTTTAGAGCAACAACAAAAAAAGAGACTAACAGTGGTGTTTTTGGATGTGGTGCGCAGTCCTGTGGGATTTTAGTGTGATTTGAATTTACTCATTTTTCGCTGTAAATGTCAAACTGTCCATTCCTACTTTGTCCCACAGTTGCACGAAGGGGGTCTCACCAGAAACAATACAGTACAGTTGAGAAAATAAAGAAAAACTCTCTGGGTGAATAGCAGATCTAGAGGGAGCAGCTCTTTTCTCCCTTTCATTTCGGTTTAGGAGGAAGGCGGTTACTACAGAAACGGTCCCGCTCACTCGGAGTGGATGCTGATTAGTTACGACAGCCGTGCCGTGCTGGAGCGTCACCCCAGTAACCTCTTCACACCAGGGGTTTTATTCGTGCGGTGGATCTCGGCACGGGTTCGACCGTTCCCTGTGATGTCACAGCTGCTCCACGGGGCAGCTACTCACCCCCTCCTGTTCCGTCCCACAACAGAACCGACCTTTACCGTGAGGACATTTTGAAGGTTGCAGTGACTCTGTCTGTCAAACGGATCGTCCGGCATGTGTAAGGTTGATCAGTGTTATTCTAAATTAAACGTTATGTCACAATGGTTTTCTTACATTGCAGTTCTGCTTTGTTTTTATAAATCGACTTGCCTGCCTATTCACCAAGTGATACAGTTCTTGATTAATGTCTGTGAGTGTTGTTATGACAAGCTGAACATTTCTCATGGAAGATGTGTATACAATTCATCATTCTTCATGTCTTTGATTGTTACAATAAAATGCAGTTGTGAACAAAAGCCTGTACAGCTTTTCCAGTGTCAAAACACATTGATCACGAGCACATTATTTCCATCCCTGTTAAGTATTTTGCCCTTCACCGTCTTCATTAAAGATATGAGGTGGCAATATGATGATATTGTGATGCATAGTGATCCCACACTTAAAGGGATAGTTCACCCAAAAATGAAAATTCTGTCATTTATGGTCCCCACTAGTGATGGGAAGATTCCGCGATTCGCTCGGTGCATCGGCATAAAAAGTTAACGATGCGATGCATCGGTTTAAAAAGTGTGCATCAGCTACAAGTTGGCATTTATATCGCGATGCATCGTTTCTAACATATTTGCATCGGTAAAAAACGATTTATTTATATAGAATTACTAGTGGATGTGCTATACTTGTATTATTTAGAAAGTGACCAATAATCTGTGACCAATATTTTATAAGTAGATTGATTTCTCCTCTCTAAACTGTTTCTCAAGCGCGCTCTCTCATCACCGCTGCTGCTGCGTGAATATGACGCATCACAACACAATGGAGACCCGAGGAAAAACTGGGATTAAAGTCCAAAACCTGACTTGAAATAACCTAACAAATCAGTCGGGGCTAAAGCGATTCCATTAACGGCAAATTAAATTCACACAATCTCACTAATTTGTGCACGCTTATTCTTAAGCAGACCTTAATGGGATAGTTCACCTAAAAATGAAAATGTGATGTTTATCTGCTTACCCCCAGGGCATCCAAGATGTAGGTGACTTTGTTTCTTCAGTAGAACACAAACGAAGATTTTTAACACAAACCGTTGCAGTCTGTCTGTCATATAATGGAAGTGAATGGGAATCACGGCTTTCAGAGTTAAAAAAAAAAGCATACACAAACAAAACCAAATTAAACCCTGCGGCTCATGACGATACGTTGATGTGTAAAGACATGAAACGATCAGTCTATGCAAGAAACTGAACAGTATTTATATGATTTTTTTTTTACCTCTGATGCACCGCAATGTCTGAACTGTCCTGAGCGCGGCCTGAGCGGGGTCCTTCAATGGTCCATTTGAGAGATAGGTGGTGCTAATGCACTTATAAGCCTGCGATCCGCCATAAAGCAAGAAGAAGAAGAAGATGCATCACATGCCGGCTGTCGAGGACATGCTCAGGACAGTTCAGACATTACAGTGCATCAGAGGTAAAAAAAAAAAAAATTTTGCTGTCAGCAGTGAGCGAGGCACGCGAGAGCAAAGAGCGCTAAACAGACAGAGCGCAATTGAATTGGAGCGCAATAATTCTGAGTAAAATATACATTTTGCTAAAAAATTTGTTTTTGGACATTAAATGTGTCTTTTGTAGAATTTTAAACCTACACATAAATTGTATTTTTATGATAGCAGTAACTGTAAGTGGACTATTGTAATAGGTAAATCAAATGTAAGCTAGTAGGCTACAGTACTAATTACCAAGCTCAAATGAGTTCATGTGTTTCTTATAGCAGTTAAAATGTAGTCATTTTCTGTATTATTTATTTTCATTTTTAATTCAGTGATTTTAACTTTTAATTTAGTTATTTGAATGCTTTAAAGAGCCATTTTAGATTGTAATGTTCTAATGTTCTGCTATCTGTTCTGCAAACTATAAAAGGTACAGCTGTAATAAAACCAGAGAGAAAGGCTGCATGGCTAGAAACTGTAAAAAAAAAAGAAAGTCAAATAATAGTATGTGAGACAGTGGTAATATCATTATGTTCTTCTTGGTCAGTAGATGAGCTTAGCTTAGCCTGACAGTTAGCCTGCTTTAGACCAGGTTAGTTTCCCAGCATAAGTTGCCACAGTGACTAAGCTTGATCTAGGCCTATGTTAAAGGGGCATTATGATGCGATTTCAATTTTTCCTTTCTCTTTGGAGTGTTACAAGCTCTTGAAGCATAAAGTCTATCTATCTATAGTTGTCAGAATTTTTTGTTATATTTGTTAAAGTTCATCAAACAATCAGCCTCGGGCCATCCACGTTTACAAGTATGTTTACAACGACCTCCTCATCAGTCATCCAGGATAAGCAAAAGTAAGCACCATTTTGATGAACAATACAATTTAAATATTAATATTGCTAAAGCCAAGCCACCTTACGCAAACGCGTCCTCCGTCTCTGTTGTAAACAACAACGGCATCAGTTTACGTCCTGGCGTAAACTCGTACTATTCATTTGACTTGGCTATGAATTACAGGTAAGTTAATAATGTTGTAAATAATGTTCAATTTCTTACAGAGACCGATAGTTTCACTTCATAAGACTTTAATATACTGTGGAGCCGCGGGGATTCATTTTTGTGTCTTTTTTTTTTTTTTGTAAGTAACTGGGTT